AAGTCTCCTACTACTAGTGTGTGTGGTTTGATATCTTCCTTGAGTTTTAGTAATATTTCTTTTACATACATGGGTGCTTTTATATTAGGGGCATAAATATTCAGGATTGAGACATCATCCTGACAAATTGTTCCTGTTATGAGTATAAAGTGTCCATCTCGATCTCTTCTGATTGATTTTAGTTTGAAGTCAGTTTTGTTAGAAATTAATATGGCCACACCTGCTTTTTTCTTAGGACCATTTGCTTGAAAGACCTTTTCCCAACCCTTTACTCTGAGTAGATGCCTGTCTTTGTGGTTGAGATGTGTTTCTTGTAAACAGCAGAATGTTGGATCCTGTTTTCGTATCCAATCTCTTAGCCTGTGCCTTTTTATAGGTGAATTGAGACCATTAATATTAAGTGATATTAATGACCAGTGGTTGTTCATGCTGGATATTCTTTTGTTTTTGGAAGTAGAATTTGTGTGTCTCCCTTCTTTGAGTTGTGCTAGTGAAGGGTTGCTAGATGCCTGAGTTATTGTAGGCAGTGTTGGCAATGTTGGATTCCTTGGGTTGCGGTTTTCCTTCTATTACTTTCTGTAGGGCTGGATTCGTGGCTACGTATTGCTTAAATTTGTTCTTATCCTGGAATGTCTTGGTTTCTCCATTTATAGTGAACGAAAGCTTGGCTGGGTATAGTAGTCTGGGCTTGCATCCATGGTCTCTTAGCTTCTGCAGTACTTCTATCCAGGACCTCTGGCTTTCATTGTTTCCATAGAGAAATCAGGTGTAAGTCTGATCGGTTTACCTTTATAAGTTACTTGGCTTTTTTCCTTTGCAGCTCTTAGTATTCTTTCTTTAACCTGTATATTTTGTGTTTTGATTATTATATGGCGAGGGGATGTTTTCCTTTGATCCAGTCTGTTTGGTGTTCTGTATGCTTCTTGAATATTCAAAGGAATATCTTTCTTTAAGTTGGGAAAGTTTTCTTCCATAATTTTGTTCAAAATATTTTCTGGGCCTTTGAGCTGTGACTCTTTTCCTTCTTCTATTCCTATTATTCTTATATTTGGTCTTTTTATTGTGTCCCGTAATTCCTGAATGTTTTGTGATGAGAATTTGTTGGCTTTGCAGTTTTCTTTGATCAGAGCGTTTATTTTCTCTATGGTGTCCTCAGAATCTGAGATTCTTTCTTCTATTTCTTGTATTCTATTGATTATGCTTGTTTCTGTAGGCTGTGCTCGTTGACCTAGATTTTCCATATCCAGCTGGTCCTCAGTTTGTGTTTTCTTCCTTGCTTCCATTTCAGTTTTCAATTCTTGAACTGTTTCCATTACCTGTTTGATCGTTCTTTCTTGGTTTCCCAGGGTATTATGTACGTATTTACTCATTTCTTCAAATTTTTGGTTATACTTCTCATCCATTTCTATAAGGGCATTTTTCACATGTTGTTTAAGGGACTCTACTGCTTTCAAAAAGTCAATTTTTTCCACTTCTTCTGTGTTAGGGTGTTGGAGACCTTCTGTTGTAAGATCATTGGGTTCTGGTGTTTTCATGCTGATTTTCAGATTATTGGGTGAATTCTTTCCTTGACGCCTGCCCATCTCCTCCTATCGATGCTATCTAAGGGGTCTGTTAAAACTGGTTCAGGTTTCCCTGCTGGCCAGGGGCTCCTCTTACAAAATGCCCTTGCTCTGTTTCCTGGTTCCTGTCGGGGGGCCAAGATCCCTCTCACCCCTCAGAAGGGTCTTCAAGAATAGGACCGGGCTCCTCCTCTGCCAGGGACCTCCCCAACCGAATGCCTACCTCTTTGGTTTGATTGTAGTGGGGCGATCTGTTCTCGGTGTTTCGCGCGGTCCCTGCAGCCTGCTTCTGCTGCTGGGATGGTTCCCGCCACCAGCAGCCTGTGTCCTCTGCTGTCGATCCGGTCCCTGCCGGTTCCAGCCTGTCCCAGTTGGTCCCCGCCTGCTGCGCTGGGCGTCCTCTGGCCGCCTTCCGCTGCCCGGTGTTCCGGCCGCCTTCTGCCGCCCGGTCAATTTTTTTATTTTTTAAAAATTATTTTTATTGAGCTCTACATTTTTCTTCATTCCCCTCCCTTGTTCTCCCTTCCCCTCCTACCCTCTTCCATGGTTCCCATGCTCCCAATTTACTCAGGAGATTTTGCCTTTTTCTACTTCCCATGTAGATTAGGTCCATGTATGTCTCTCTTAGGGTCCTCTTTGTTTCCTAGGTTCTCTGGAATTGTGAATTGTAGGCTGGTTTTTTCTTTTCTTTATGTCTAAAAGCCACTTAAGAGTGAGTACATATTATATTTGTCTTGTTGGGCCTGGGTTACCTCACTCAATATGATGTTTCTTGCTCCATCCATTTGCCTGCAAATTTCAAGATGTTATTTCTTTCTACTGTGTGCACATTTTTCTTATTCATTCTTCGGTCATGGGGCATTTAGGTTGTTTCCAGTTTCTGGCTATGACAAACAATGCTGCTATGAACATAGTTGAGCACATGTCCTTGTGGCACGATTGAGCATCCTTTGGGTATATACCCAAAAGTGATATTGCTGGGTCTTGAGGGAGGTTGTTTCCTAATTTTCTGAGAAATCGCCATACTGATATCCAAAGCAGCTACACTAGTTTGCACTCCCACCAGCAATGGAGGGAAGTTCCTTTTATCCTCTCTAGCATAAGTTGTAATCAGTGTTTTTGATCTTAGCCATTCTTACAGGTGTAAGATGGAATCTCAGAGTGAACAATAGACATTTAAAATAGACTTACTGTCAATAGCATCAGAGATTAAAAAAAGGAGAGATAGAGGAGGAGGAAAGGAAGGAAGGAAGGAAGGAAGGAAGGGAAAAGAAGAAAAAGCAGAAGGAGGAAGAGGAGGAGGAGGAAGTAGTGGTGGTGTGGGGATATGTGAGCACAGTGAAACACTGCCAAGAGGTGCATTCTGAACATGTGTTGGAGGACTTGACAACATTAAGCTCTCCATTCTCTTCTAATGGATCTGTTACTCAATACAATCCCAGTCAAAATACAAGCAGAATTTTAATAAAAATTAACACACTGGGGCTTGAATGCATAAGAGTGCATAAGAGTCCCTGTTCTGCAATCATGAGGACCTGAGTTTGAACCTCCAGTACCATGTAAAAAGCCAGGGGTTGCTGCAGGCACCTACTACTCTGGCATTACGGGGCAGACACAAGTGGATTCTGAGAGTTTACTGGCCATCAAGCATAATGGAAAGCCAATTCTCTGTTTCATTGAGAGCCTTGTATTCAAGGCAGAAGTCAGAACTCCACGTGCCTGCATCTACACATTCACATGCATCACATACGCGCACACACACATGTACATACATACATACACATACATGTGCACACACATATACACACCCACGCACACACATGTACACACACATACATATGCACATACGCACACACACATAAATACACACCTATGCACACACACACACACACACATGTGCCCGGGCACGCACGCGCGCGCACACACACATACACACACACATCAACAAACTGATCTTATGGGTAGGCCAAGGATTTATTATTACCAAAATAACCTTTCCGAAAAACAAAATTGTAGAACAGGGTCTCGTTATGTAGCCCAGGCTGGCCTCAAACTCTTGGTTCTCATACTTTTGGCCTCCCAAGGGCTGAGGTTACAGACACGTGCTACAATGCCAGGCTGAAAAAAAAATGTATACATATGTATACATATCTAAAACATATTTAGATAATATATACATGTTTTAGATAATATATAAAATTGTAATCTGTAGATGAATAAGTTGATCATTTGTAATAAACCAAAAAAAACCAAGCTTCTCTGAAAAGACTGCCACAATATAAAAAAAAATGCTGTAGAGTAGGAGAGAAAGATTTTCAAATTCTATGTCTACTAAATGACTTATGCCCAGAATATTAAAAAATTCTCAAAATTCAATAATGAGGAAACTCAAAATATGGGCTCTATTTTGGAACAGACATTTTCTCAGAAAGAGTATAGATGGGATCAGGTCATGGGGTGCACACCTGTAGCCCCACTCCTGAAGATGCAGTCAGGAGGACCACGAGGTCGACGCTAACCTGGGATATACAGCAAGACCCCGTTTTAGGGAAAAACAAAGCATTAACAAAAGAATATGTGCATGATAAATAATACAAAAGGATGCTCATCCCAACTAGCATCAAGAAATCCACATTGAAATCACAGACACTATTAGGCAAGGGTTAGAATGGGGGAGAGTCATCGGCCAGCCATGCTCCATACTTGCAAAGATCTGGAGGGTCTGGGACTCAGACCTTACTGGCAAGGTGATAAACTGAACAATCATTTTGGGAAACAGTTTGGTAGTTTGTCCCACACAGTGACATCACCATCCACGTGATCTAGTTATCCAAGGCTCCTATTTACCAAAAGTAACCAGAAGCTTATGTCCACACAAAGGACTCATACACAAGGGTTCATAGCTTTATCTGCAGCAGCCCAAGTCTGGAAAGAGCTCAGCTGCCCGTAAGCAAGTGAACGGATACATGTTTATGTTTATTATACAGAAGAAAACTACTTAACTCTAAAATGAATGAATGGGGGGGCGTCACACTACAATATGAGCGAATTTCAAAATAAGTATGAGTGGAGGGAGCTCCCGAGGATCTGAGCATTTATTGTATGATTCCATTTGCAGAAGATTCAAACGCATGTGTAGTGGCAGAATATATTGAGTAATTGCTTGGGAATGAAGGAGAGGGGTTGTGGGAAGGAGACCAGATTTACAAACCGGGGTAGAGTGCTTTGGGGAGGTGGTGGATATGCTTACCACTTTTGTCGTGACAACGTCACAAGTGTGACTGCGTAAATTCTCTTTGTCATAGGTGACTAATAGACCATAAGGTCGGTTGGACATGGGATGGTGAAAGAGCCCATGAGATGCTTTAGGTTTTGCTCGGCCTGATGCGGTCTGTGTCCCAGGTGATGGCCCGTGACTGTCCACTTCTCACTCAGCAGGATGAAGACATGAACCTTTTGATCCAGGAGATGCAACAGGGCTACAGCGACCTGGAGAAGATGCAGGAGCTTTACTCTGAGTCCTTAGTCATGGACTGGTGTTACAACGGAGAAAAGGGGGGAGGCTTCAAGTGAGTTGCCAGACCATTTCCCTTGCCTCCCCACTCTGCCTCACCCCTCCCTGCTCTATCTGCTCCCCCAGCTCCCCATCTAACCCCCTCTCCCCTGCCTGCCCCACTCCCTCCGTTTCTTCCCCCGCTTCCACCCCCACTCTACCTCACCCTTCCCTGCTCCCTCTGCTCCCCAGCCCCCCATCTACCCCCCCTTCCCTGCCTGCCCCGCTCCCTCCCTGCTCCCTCCAAATTCCTCCCTGCTCCCCTCCCCCCATCTGCCCCTCCTGTGCTCCCCTTTCTGAAGGACTTTGGGGGAATCTAGTGTAAGAAGCATGTAGTCTAATCATGTTACGGTATTTTACAGAAAGAGAATGGTCTAGTACCTGGGCTGAGATCACATATGCACTCTGTATTTTCTATCCAGTATAGATCCCACCACCCCCATCTTGAGCAGTGACAGGCAGAGATGGGTGTCTGAAGTGGAGACAGCCCAGGGCTCAACAGCCTGAGGTCTGGGCTTCAGTCTGTGAAGCACTGATAGGCACTTCACTTCCTCTCACACCTCTCCATGCCCCGGATCTGTTTCCTGATCAGGCTGTGGTCGCAGGTTGGGGAGACACCCTTCTTCAATCTTCCTCCAGCCTGTGCTTCTGCTCATGGTGGTATCAACAAAACCGCAACTGATCCCAACGCTCAGGAAATGAGTCAAATCTTATTAAAGTGATTTAAGGTTGTTTGTACAGATATTCATGCCCATCCTGCCAGGAAAATAGCTAATAGGGAGATAGCAAGCGGAAAGACTGAAAATACATTTATTAGCCAGATTTTTTTTATTCATCTAAACAAAGTCTTTCAATTAATGAATTAAACATTAACACAGATATCAAGTTAGGAGAAAAAGAGCCTGTCCTATAGTGGGTTCTCTTAGAAGGAGATTGTGCAGAGCTTTGAGAATTTGGGGAAACACAAATGTGTTTCTTAACTTCACAGATAAACTGACAATCAACTAAGTAAGCATCCCTTGAGTATAAGCTAGCTTTTCCCTTCTTTCAGCCAGCACCTTAACTGCCTTCCTTGTTTAAACAAAGAAAACCTTAGACAGAATGACCAGCTGGTGCTAGAACTTGGATTTGGTCTGGTGTCTGACTGAGCAGTGACCGCGACAGTTTGTGTTTTCAGTTTCGAGGGCTGGGAGGACCGCATGCTGGATGGAGTTAGAGACATCTTACTGCTACAGCCTTCCCACTTTGGGCAAGCAGCTTAGCTCAAGGAGCCTCTGTTTTCCTGTCTGTAATGTGGGAAAGGGCAGTGATAGGTGGTTGGGTGGATGCCTGTGGCTCACAGTAGGAACCCTGACTTAACAGAGAAAAGAGCAAAAGGTGGTGGCTCAGCCTACCGACTATTGCACTGTTTAGTTAACTGCATTAGGAAAGTGATTTCTCCCACTTAGCTATCATCAACCACAGACTACTGTTTTGAAGTTTTCCATTAGGAAAAAAAAAACATATCAGCCTCCAAATATTTTATTTATTTTTTTATTTATTTGTTTGTTTGTTTGTTTGTTTAATACACTGAGGACAAACCTTGCTCCAGGAGAAATGGGTGCATGAGTCCTGGTTCCTTTCTGCTGTGGGGTGCACAGTGTGGATGTTTTCACACAAAGGACAGACCACAGGACCCCTACTGTGAGCCTCATGCATCCACATACCTGTGCCGTGGCTGCTTTTTTCAGAGCCCAGACACAAAAGTGTCTGGGCAGAGACTTGAGCTTTTCTGGATCCCTCCTGGTCTCTACAATTGTGTGCTGCCATTTTTGGCTGGCGTGGGAAGTCTAACCTTGCACAAGAGCTTGGTCAATGATGCTTTGGTTAGAGAATTGGTTTTTCATAACTGGTGTGTTGACTCACATTTGTCCCCACGGCAGTCCTGTGTAGTCGGTGCAGAGATGAAGCTCCTGAGCGGTCGGTGGCAAAGCTGAAGAAACTTAGTGACTTCAGTGAGGTCACACACCTGTGATAGGAGTCACTCTGCCCCACTCAAGGGCTGGACTTGACACTCTCTTGTGTCCATGCACCCAGGAGTATTAATGCTTAGTTTGATAACGAGAAGACTGGGTCTTGATCAATACGTTTATTTTAGCCTGCCCATTATGCTGGCCCTCTTAATTAAAGGGGCCTCCTTTTGAGAGGGTAGCTCACTTCTTTAAGTCAGCAGTGTTCAGTGTGAATGTATTAATCTGCTTCTCTTTCTTATTAATGGACATTTTCTTTCACCCTCCTTTTTATTGGTCTACTTAAAAAAAAATCTGAACTAAACAGGCATCAAAAGGAAATCTGCTCCATGGTTTCAACCCCAGAAAATTGTGCAAACTCTCAACCGGATGCTGACTCAATGGCTGTTTTGCCCCTAAAAGTGTTTAAAGGACCATGGGAAGTTTTGAATGGAAAGACACAGAAAAAGAAACTCCTGCATGCAGGTACTTGTGCCCAGAATGGCGTCACTCTTGGCTGGCTTTCCTCCAGGGAGATGAACTAAAACCAAACCCACATGGGATTTCTTTTAAGACCCTAATTTAAGTGTTGTTTGTTTATTTTGGTGCCTTGCTCATTCCTGGCAAACCCACCACTTCTGAACCTCTTGTGCATGTTTTTTTAATGAATTTTATTAAGACAATTTGCATAATATCATAGCATTACCCTATAGACGTCCTCCCATGGTAACATCTCATAGACAATCACAACCAGTATAATGACACTGGTAAAACCAAAAGGTTTTATTCAGATTTGTCCCAGCTATTCTTGTCTGACTAGGTTTTTATTATATGTGTAGGGATGTAGGGGAATTCCATCACCATGAGGGCCCTATAGGGCTCTTTTAAGGTCTCACCCACACAATTCTATACCTTCCCCTGGCCTTTGGGAATCACTATGCTTTCTTTCTAAACTGTTACATTTCAAAATATTTTAGGGACAGAATCACAGAATTGGCTGTTTTCTCACTTATCATGATTTTCTGTAAATGCATAGATTTTACATGTGTGAACAGTTCATTCCTTTGTATTGATGAGTAGTCCAGGTGATAGGTGTGCCACAGTTGCTTTAACCGTGCATCTGTTGATTAATCCAAACTACTTCTAAGTTCAGTCTATTATAAATAAAGCAGATTATGAGCATGCATGTACAAATTCATTGTATCCTTTAGTTTTCATTTATTTAGGATAAATAGCCAAGAGTTTTATTGCCAAATCCCATGGTAATGCACCACTTCGCTGTGAAGAAAATGACCGAACAATTTTTCCAAAACAACCATGCCATTGTGCCTGAATGAGAGACCAGTTATTTTACATTTTCAACAGCATAATGTTTTACCATTGTTTTTTAAATTTCCGTCTTTCTGATGGTCATGCGATAGCTCACAGTGATTTTAGTTTGCTTTTCCATAGTTGCTAGAGGTGTTGATGTCGTCATGCATTTCCTTGTTTCTGCTGTGTGCCAGCTAATGTGTATTTCTAGTGAAATGTCTGCGTGGTGAGTCTTCAAGTGAGTGTGCGAAGAGTTCTCATATGTTCTCGATTGATGGGATAGCAGTATCACAGTGATTTCTTTAACGTTTTTATTCTAAAGACTATTTCAGTTATCCTAAGTCTTGATGTTTTTGTGTGAACTCTAGAATACATTTGTCCATTTCTATTATAAAACTCTCTGGGATTTCTCAGTAATTGCACTAAATGTATGATTTCATTTGGAAGATCACCCAACTCATAAGCATGGCATTTCTCTCCATTCATTTGGGTCTTCTTTGATGTCTAACAGCAGCATTTTATAATTTTCCACATATCCCATAAAAATATAGTAGCTTGTTTTTGTTGAATCTGTAACTGGGTACTTCACTGAAGTCAGTAGTATGAAGAGTTCTCCTTTGGGTAGATTTCCTATCATGTTCTATATGGTCACACTATACACTATGTAAGTAGGGACACTTTTGTATTTCTTTCCATTTTTTTTCTGGCTTCATTTCACTTTCTTACCTCATTTCAGTGACTGGAACCTCTAGTACTATTTTGAATAAAGGTAACAGTGGTTGTCATTTTCTTTTTCCCAGTATTTGGGGGAAACAGTTTATTTCCCAATTAAATATGACGTCAGCTGTGCAGGTTCTCATCTATTCTTTATCAAGCTGGGAATGTGCTCCACTTAACTTTCTGGAAGGTTTTTATTTTTCGTCATGAATGGGTGCTGGATTTTGTTAGGTGCTTTTTCTGTGTTCATTGTTAATGATTTTTCTTCTTTGATCTATTGATGGACTGATTGCATTGTTTGTTTTCAAATATTGAAGCAGCCTTGTATATTTTTTTCTAGCTTGCTTTCTGTTGCTGTGATTAAGCACTCTGGCCAGGAGGAACTTTGGGGAGGAAAGGGTTTATTTCTCTCTATAGTTGACCACTGAGGGAGCCAAGACAGGAATTCCAGCAGGGACTTGAGGCAAATCCACAGAGGAACACTGCTTGCTGCTTTACCAGGCCCATAGTTAACTAGCCTTCTCACATAGATCAACTGTACAAGGGATGTGTCACCCGTCAACAACGGGCTGGGTCCTCTTACACCAAGCAACAATCAAGACAGCACCTCCCCCCATACACACACACTCCCCAACTCCTCCAGGTCAATCTGATCTGAGCAATCCTTCAGTTGAGATTCCCTTTTTGGGTGACCCTAGGCTGTGTCAGGTTGTCAGGTGAAGCTAACTAAGACAACACCTTAAATGTTTCCTAAATGATCTCAGTGTACAACGGTTGTAATCTGTCACTCTAGTTCCTAAAATATTTTGAGGACTTTGTTGCCAAGGTTGACAGAAGTTACTGGTCTGCAGTTTCCTTCCTTCTGAAGTCCTGTTTTCTGAATTCTCATGTCACGCCAACACCATCCTCATCAAATGGGTTGATGTTTTCCTTCTCTTTCTTTCTTGGGAGAAAGTGATGCAATTTCTGCATGTTGTGTAAGAGTCTCACGAAGCCAATTGGACCCAGAAATCTCTGAAAAGAGATTTTTCATTCTGAGTTTGATTTCTTCTGGTTTTAAGATAGTCTTATCATGTTTCATCTTGTCTGGTTTTTGGAAATTCCTGATTTTTTTTTTGAGAATTTGGTCACTTTTTTTCTAAATTCTCACATATAGAAATTCTCGCAAAGTTCTTCATCATATTCTTTCATTGACTTTCAGTTTCTGCAAGATCTATAGTTATGTCCCCCATGTCTTGACATCATGATTTGTGTCTATCTACTCCTTTTGTTTTTACTTAGTCTTATTAGGGAATTTATCAGTTTTTTTCTATTTGTTTATTCCCTCTGAGAGAATTTATATTTATTCATCAAAATTTTTTTTGGACAGCTTCTTTGAAATTCTCATCAAATAATCTTAATTTCTGATTTCCATTGATGATATTTTGTTGCCTTTTGTTATTCAAGATGTGTTTTTCTTGACAGAAGAGTGAATTTTTGAAAAATGTTTATTTTTAATCATGTGTGTGTTGTGTGTGTAGTGCTGTATGTGCTGTGTATATAGCATATGTGTGTGTGTGTGTTTGTATGTGTGTGTGCTAGGTATACTTACATGAGTGTAGATATCTGCAGAAGCCAGAAGAAGGTGTCAGATCCCCTGGAGGTGAAGCTTACAGCTGTTGTGAGCTCTCTGACATAGGTACTAGGAACTGAACTTGGTCCTCTGCAGGAGCATCGTGGGCTTTTTAAAACTACCCGAGCCACCTCTGCAGCTCTAAGTGATGTTTTTAAATTGTACCGTGCGTACTCTGCTGTGTTAGAGACACTGGATCCTACTGAGGTCTTTTATTTTGGCATGTTGCCACCGTGTTTGTCAGACATGTTGACTTTGGCCTGTTTTTGTGGGTTGGTTCCAATGATTTAGTAATTCTCATTGCATTTGTGACAGGTTGTGTGTGTGTGTGTCTTCTGGTACTGCTGGAGGTGGCAGCAGTGGGCTCTTCAGACCAGAATGCTAAGTGTATCTTAGGAGCAGAGTGACTTCTCCCCCTGCTGTCGCGTGGTGTCTCATGAGTCTAGGTGCAACAAGGCAGTCAGCCCTTGAGCCTCATGCGTGTCCTGTCTGCTTGATTTTGATGACACTGTCCAGAGGAAATAGGCTAGGCCTGTGGAAACAAACAGGCTCCATTCCCGTCCTTGGCCGATCCTTTGCCACCCTGTCTCCGGTGAGCCTGACTTTTGCTAGACCTGCTAGTATATACTTCTCCTAAGTGTCTTAATGACCTTCTGCCTCTTTCACCGCATCACTTAGACTTCAGATTCTGGATATTGACAGGCAGCCGTGTACTAAATTTAATTTTACCTTAATGTTTAATGCATAAGAGAAATGGAACATGAGGGGGAGTGGACCGTGTGGGGAGCAGTTACAGTACCACTGCCAAATACAGCTTTTCACTGAGCTCTCTCCTGTGATTCATTGATCTCTTTCTCACATACTCCATTCCCAAGAAAAGGTGTCTTTTTTTTTTTTTTTTTAAATTCCTGGCTAAAGAAGCAGCCAAGATAGGCTTCACCCTCTAGTTACTTAGAAAGCCAATGAGTTTCATACAGCAAGCTCCCTTATCCAGTCATGGAATGCACTGGGGTTACTATTGTGTGTAAAAGAAGAGGAAAGAAAACCTGGCCATTTGAAGATTTCCCACTCTTAATCATTCCTGCTGTCTTGTGGAGAAGAGCAAGTCCAGGTTGACAACACAGCAGGATTCATTCACCAATGCCTACTTGAAGTTGTGGGTCCTTGTACCTCCAGCTTGTAAAGAGCACAGAACATATCTGCCGCCAGTGTGTTTGTCAAATGTGTAAAGTAACCAAAATGTCTTGCCATTTGAGCATTGTTCCTTAATGCATACAAGTCAATGTCAGTATCTGATAAATGTCGTCCTTTAGTGGCAAGGACCAGCGGAGGGCACAGAGTAATGTAATATAAATGGCCTGGTGGCAACCACGATAATCAACATTTGTTAAATGACCTAATAGAGATATCTCGCCCTACACCACACAACTCTTGCAATTATGGATTATGTTGTGTTAACCTAAACACAAAGTTATTCTGGTGGATTTAGTATGACCACACAAAATCCCTTTAAAAATGGGAGCTTTCTCTGGCTGGTGGCAGAAGAGAAAGTCAGGGAGGGGAATTTCATGCACCGTGCCTGACCTAATGATGGGGGCACACGTGGTAGGCTATATGTACAGCATCTCCAGGGGCTGAGAAAGACCCCTTGCCTGTATGGAAACCTGGACCTCAGCTCTACAACCTCAAGGAACTACACCTCCTCGTTATCTCCCTTCTCCTTCCTTTCCTTCTCTCCTCCCCCTCCTCTTATCTGAATGAGTTTGAAGCAGATTCCTTTTCAACAGGGGAATAGAACTGAAGAATGCAATCAGTATGACAGACCATCCTCTGAAAAATGGAAAGCTAAATATGTATGTGTGTGTGTGTGTGTGTGCGCGCGCGCGCTTATGGAGGAGACAGGTCACCTTTGGGTGTTCTTTTGGTTTATTTTCTTGAGGCAGGTTTTTTATTGGCCTGGATCTCTCCCACCAGGCAAGCCTGGTGGATCAGCAAGCCCTAAGGAGCTGCCACATCCCCAGTGAGAGGATGACAGCCCCGCCAGCATTTTTGCTTTCAAATGGTTTCTGAGGAAGCAAATTCAGGTTTTCATAAGTGGAGAGCAAGCACTTCATTGACTGAGCCACATCTCCAGCCTAAAGTTACACCAATTTAACAAAGCAGTTCTATCTAATCAAACATTGATGGAGGAGGGTCATCTTTCTATCTGTTGATTTCATTGGTTAAGCAATAAAGAAACTGCTTGGCCCTCATAGGTTAAAACATAGGTGGGTGGAGTAAACAGAACAGAATGCTGGGAGAAAGAAGCTGAGTCAAGGAGTCGCCATGATTCTTCGACTCCAGGCAGACGCAGGTTAAGATCATTCCTGGTAAGCCAGCTCGTGGGCTACAGCAGATTATTAGAAATGGGCTAGTCCAGGTGCAAGAGTTAGCCGAGAAAAGGCTAGATTATAATGGGCCAAGAGGTGTTTAAAAGAATACAGTTTCCGTGTAATTATTTCAGGTAAAGCTAGCCATGTGGGCGGCCGGGTGCTGGGGACGCAGCCCGCCGCTCCTATTACTACAAAACATCTCCTTCCACTCCCAGTTCCTATAACCCCTCTCTCTGTGGTGTCAACAGAATCGACCAGAACCAGCCTACTCAGAAGCCACATAGCCACCTCCAAGAGCTGCAGTTACACTAAGGACAGCTCCAACCCCAGCAGCTGCGTCACTACTGCTCCGAGTGACAGAGGCAAGCTCAAGAGGGTCCCTACCCCAGCAAGCCCCATTCATCTTCTTTTTGCCCACTGTTCGATGCCTGAAAGACACGGGTGGGATCTGTTGGGGGTAGTAAAAAAAAAAAAGGCCCCACTTCAAGTGTTACAGATTCCTCCCACAAAGGCTGGCGTGTAAGTCAGGAATACCTACTTAAGTGCACTGCATTTTCCTAGGACTGGATTTGGGCTACGTGTGTCTGGGTGTTTGGCACACTCGTGGCTGCTCACTCGACTACCATGTCAAAAGAAATGTTTGCTACTGTGTCCTTTAATTCTAAAACTCTTGCCACCCAGTCAACCTCTCTCTGGTTCCAGCTGTCAAACTTGTAAGGCTAAGTATAAGGAAGGTAGAACTTGTCCACGCAGTGACTAAATTATGAGATGACTTTTCTTAAAACAATAAATTGAATCCTATAGTGCACGCTCTACAGTTCAAACCGTTAGTTACTAAATCCTGTGCCCAAAACACAGTCCCTTATGTAGTGAAAGCACCTGAGTGACAATTGTGCCCCTGCATTAACTTGTGGTTGAGTCAGACTCTGCTTCAGGGCCACTGTGTGGGGGACCTTTCAGCCTAGCTTGCATGTCCTCAGCCAGCTACGTGCAACCTGCTAGCTTGCATACCCTCAGTCGGTCATGTGCAGCCTGCTAGCTTGCATGTCCTCAGCCGGCTACATGTGCAGCCTGCTAGGTTGCATGTCCTCAGTCAGACACATGCAGTCTGCTAGCTTGCATTTTTTCAGTCAGACACATGCAGTCTTATAGTGTCCTCAGCCAGACACATACATCCTGCTAGCTTGCATGTCCTCAGCTGCCTACATGCACACATAAATCCATTCATTATGGGACTTAGCATATGACGACTAGAACACGGTTTCTTAAGCATTTAACCAATGCACACCTCGCCTGCTTCCCTTCCAGCTGCTGCTAACTCAGCGAAGGACTACTCTTCTCCATTTAGACATCCAAGGCTATATAGAAGGATATACATTTAAAACCCCAAATACTAATTTCAAAATTTGAACTTAACGATTCCACAGACTCTAACAGTCTTTGGTTTCCCTCACTAACCTGAAGAACTATGAAAAAAAGGGTCCGGATTGAAAAATGTAGATCAAGTCGCTCAACTAGTAGTTGTGTGTGTGGGGGGGAGGGGGCTAATGCTGGTAAATCATAGTCTTGTTAAACGTTTTAAACATGGATTTAAAGAAAGGGATTACGTGTGTGTCTGATTCTTCTGTGGAGAGAGCGCTCACTGCGTGGCGGGTGGGGAGTGAGTGGGTAAGGCAGGGCTGTGTCACCTGGGCCTGGCTGGGGCTCCAGGGGAAGTGGCTAATGCATTTTGCCTGAAAGCCTGCTCTGGTGGGTTAAACTATGGCCTCTGAAGTATGGGCTGCCATTAGCCCTCCATCCGAGCAAGAGAGATGGATCCTTGATGTCAGCCCCCATATATATATATCGCTGCCGTCTCACTCCACAGAAATGAGTACCCTGTGCATGAATAAGCACCTAGATGACAAATTGTCTGAAAGACTCGCCCGAAATGGAAACCACGTTACTGGCCACACGTGAGTGCTTTAGTCTAAAGAGAACATTTTGTTCTGGTTTTGTTTGTGAACGCCTAAGTTGCGGGTTTTAAACTCTAGGGTCTTGTGTTCTTAGCTCTGCAGACATGTCCTCTGAAAACTGGCTCCAAACGCACAGCCTGGTGGCCAAGAAGCTCACCATCATGGATGCCTTGGCTGGGACGGTAGTGCCCCACAATGCCACCTATGTCCCCATCCTGAATAAGCATGTTTCCTCCAAGGTCTTCAGTGAGGTAATGTGATGGATTGTTTGTGTGCCCCTCCCCACCCCTCCCCCACTCCAGATGGTTTTTTTATTTTCTGCTCATATAAAAAAAATGACCTGCTTTAATTTCTTGAGCGATTGTAGAAGAGGTATTTGTCTTGGAAGAAGATGTGTGTAGAGACAGTAAATGAGGGAGAGAAATGGGGACTCTCACTCATCCCTCCCTTCTGGGGCAGGAGGAACTGGCCTTTGCTGAGCTGGCAGTTTGCAGCCCCTTGCTGCTGTGGGGATGTGTGGAGCTGCAGAGATGTTGAAAGCTCCCCAGAGAAAGAGTGGGCATCCAGGGACCTAGGGACCAAGGACCAGGGAGGAGGGAGGGCTTTGCCAGAGAGATGAGGCCCCTTCTTTTCCCAAGTTGAATGACACTCTCTCTATTATAAAAGCCACCACAGCAAGGAGAGAGGAGGCGTGGGAGGGGGACTGGATTTGAAGTGGTCATTCTCCTGGGGAAGAAAAAGAGCCTCTAGTATGAGAGTGTGGTAGGTAGGGTATATGTGGCCAAGGCCATGCATGCCCCCTTAGGTCCAGCTGGCCCTTGGTGTCTGTGAACTCTTCTTCTATGGCTTCAGCCAGTCTTACCTCAAAAGTTACATCTGCACTGAGCATGTACATTTCCCCATTACTTCCTACCCATGCGATATATTAGCTACTTACACGTCATGTACTTTGTCGTGGGAATTATGAATCACTGATGACTTAAGGGACACAGGGATGGAGGGAGGTTATGTGCAGAAACCCCTCCATTTCGCAGAAGGGTCTGAGAGTGTCGACAGTGGTGGCAGTATGTTCAGGAGCCAGTCCTTCCCCAGCGAGGACCGGTTGTGACGGGAAGCTCCCCATCTTCAGGGAGAGCAGTTTCTGAAACAGCCGCACTAGAGAGGGATGTCAAACACGGAGGAGATGCGAACGTAAGGCCCAAGGTCCGCTGGGAAATACGAAGAGGCTGAAAGTTCAAGTAGTAAACCCTCAGGCTTCCCAGCTCTAAAGGGAATGGCATCCCTAAAGGAACATCCTGGGATGTTTATGGCTGGGATGCTTGGTGTCTTCCTCAGGTTGTCTGATGGGACAGGGTGGCAGGGGGTAAGAGCAATTTTTAAATTGGGGAAAGGTCATCAGGGAGGACAGCTTATTGTACAATTCTGCCTTTTTTTTTTCTATACTTGAGATTTTCTACAAGACCATCTGGTGAAAAGGCTCTAACTGGCCTTGACCTCGCTGGGGCAGGCATACTTAGAGCAGCAGACAGATCAACGGGATTCTCTTCTGTTAGCCATTAGTCACATTTAAGAGTGCCCGATGGAGGTCAGTGTCACCCTGCTGGCTGTTGTCGTTCACCTTGGAGGTTGTGGGTGGTGCTGGTTGCCCTGTTCTTTTTGCCTCAAGGCTCCCAAGGCGAAGTGAGCGATCTCTTCCAGGAAGTCTGGTGACATTTTCTTCAAGTTCCGTGCATTTCTTTCATTCATATATTTGGGATTTATTTGGCCCAAACCTGTTTAATGACTTCCTCTTGGAAGCAGAATTTCCTTGGGCGTATAGCATCCCTCCTTGTAAGTTTTCCAGTGACTGGAGATACATTGGAATGGAAAGTTCTCCAAAGCACATGTGGAGGGCTAGGGGAATGCAAGCAGATGATCAAAAGAAGAAGCCATAAAGAGAATATTTATCCCCTAACTACATTGAAATGGACCAGTGCAGAGGAGGGATGTTGGAGGCAGTGGATGACGGCCAGGAGACAGGCTTTTCCAGACACACACCGCAGGGCAGCTGCATGGACTTGCAGTGGTCTGACAGCTTATACAAGACCTGTGCGAGCTCAAGCCAGTCCAAACTCAAGCATCGACAGAGGAGGTGGGCACAGAACCCTACCCCTAGCTGAGGAGCTATTGGCAACTGATAGATGCTGGAAGGGGGGGTTCTTAGTTTTCTTTAGGCGATGGCCCCTAGTAGGTAGAGCATGCTCCAGTGAATGGCCCCACACCCAAGAGTACATGGGCACCACAGTTGGACTCAGTGGACTTAGAAGACTGTGAGGGCTGGTGGGGAAGGGAGGGTTGACTTGGGAGGAGTTAGAGGAGGGGCATGCATGTTACCAAATTGCATCATATGAAACACTCAAAGAATTAATAAAAATGACATTCTGCATAAAAGTATATGAAGTAAAAAACAGGTATAAGAAAATGTTTGTAGCATATACAATGAAGGTAGGTTATAAGAACTACATTATTAATATAGCCTGAATGCACGTGTGCATACACACACACACACACACACACACACACACACACCTTCACCAAGAAGGTATATAGACATGATAAATATTTCAGTGAGAAATCTGAGATAAAAGGGAGAAAAGCCAAAATGACACACAAAAATATTTAACTTTAGTAGTAACCAGATATATGAGGTAAGAAATATACAAAATTTGAAAGCTAATTGGCTACCCCTCTCCCCATCAAACTGGAAAGGTAAGAGCCAGTGAGATGGCTTGGTGGGTGAAGGCACCTGCGACTAACGCTGGCTTCAGCAGGAAGGAGGAGAGATGCTCCTGCTAGTGTCCTCCAGCTTCTACGTATGTGTGGAGAAAGTAAAACTTTAATTGAGCTTAAGGATTTTCAACTCTGTCATGAGGAAAATAGGAGAGATTTTATCATGGGAAAAAGTCAACTTTGGCTTTTTTGCTGCCTAAGTAAAAGGCAGTGTGGAGATGTGAGGCTGAGAAACCGTGGCGGTTGAGAGGCAAGTCCGGACACGGATGGCTCGATGACGACACCGGGCAGAGGTGGAGGCCTGTGTGAAGTCACATCAGTGGGACTGAATGGGGAGGGGCTGACCCACACGAAGGCATCAGAAGCACACAGCGGGAGAAAGACCGTTTAATACACGGTCCTGGCAGGACTGGATATGCCACACATCAGAATGAAATGAGACCAGCAGCTCTCATCCTGGAGAAACAGCAATTCAAAGTGGATCAGCGTCCTCCATTTAACATGTAAACCACCAGAACTGCCTGAGGAAAATGTAGGGAACGCATTTCAAGTCATAGACACAGTCAAGACTGTTCTGGCCAGGACTCCAGCAAGGAGATGGGCCCAAGAATCAACACATGGGCTGACGTGAGGTTAAAATGTTTCTTCACATCAGAGAAAACCATCATCAGAAACAAGCACACAACCCACAGAGTGGGGAGAAATTTTTGCTGTACTTCAGACAAAATTCAGTTATACTTCAAATAGGAGGTTGATGTCTACAATATATAAAGAGCTGAAACAATTAATTAAAAAATGAAGCAGTCTATTGAGAAATGGGATCATGAAATGAAGTTAACTAAACAGGAAACAGAAATGGACAAAAAATATTTTTAAAAGCCCTAGACATTCTTAACCATTAGAGAAATGAAATTAAAACCACTTTAATAGTTCACTCTCACCCCGGTTAGAAAGGCTCACATCATAAAAATGAACGACCCTAAATGCTAGCAAAGATGTAAGGATGGGGGACCCTGAATCACTGCTGGGGGGGCCATGTGGAAATGGTCCTCAAAAAATTCAAAATAGGGCTATGATATGCCCTGAAAATAAAAACCCAGAGCACTTCATATCCTACCAGAGAGATGCCTGTAGCTCCATGCTTATTACTGCTATATTTGCAACATCCAGGAAGCGGGATCAGCCTAGGTGTCAATCAACAGATGAGTGGATAATGAGAACATGGCGTGTATAATAATTGGTACATTACTCGGATGTTAAAGAAAAATGAAATTTGTGAGAGACGAATGAATCTGGAGAGTATTATATTAAGTGGCATGACCCAGACTCAGAAAGACAAAAATCACATGTTCTCATATGCAGATCCTGTATCAGTTCCTTTACTGTTGCTGTGATAAAGGCCATGACCAAAGCAATCTGAGAATGAGGAAGCTTTGACTAATGGTTCCCAGGGATGAGTGCATTGTGGCGGGGAGGCACAGCTCGGCAGCAAGCTGCCGGCAGCAGGCGTGACCAGAGCAGGGAGCTGGGAACTCCATCCTGTACTGCAAGCACAAAGCAGAGAAAACAACAACAACAACAAAATACAAGTGGTATAACGCTTTTTGTCACAGCCCACCTCAAACGACATACTTCCTATAGCCAGACCACATCACCCAAATCTCTCCAAATAATGACACTAACAAGGAACCAAAATACCGAGACTGGGGGTGGGGGGGGGCATCTCATCCAAACTACCATCGATCCTGACTTTTAATATTTACAGTATGTAAATAAAGGGATGGGAGAAAAATTACAAACTATGAGACTAGATAGGATAAGCTAGGTAGGAGAACGTTATCAAGGAAGGACAGAGGGGCCAGGAGAGCATAAAGACGCATGTGACACGTAACAGGGCTGCTGCAGATGGGAGGAGGGCGACAGAGTGCCAGGGAGAAGTGGGGCGGAGAAGTAACAAAAACAAAGTCAGTTTTGCTTGAAAAGACCACAATGGAACAGCTACACTGTATGCTAGTATATGCTAGATTCCAGACTTGGTTGTTATGACAGAAACTTTCCGGAGTAGCAGGAGTTAGGATCCTGATAGCTGGGAGAACATTCTAGTGTTTCACTTCCAGAAAGCAAGGACAAAGAGAAGGGGGTGGACATCTCCCCATGGACACTTGGCGTTTGGCGCCTTTTGTGGTGCCGTCCATTCCCATCCCAAGTATACAGACAAGATAGTGCGATGCCCAGCAAGTCACCCTTCATCACTAACAGAAAGGCAAGAATTAGATGACGATAGAGGTAGACCATAATGCATTTCAATCTCATCTCCAAAACAGAGTTTATGTCTTTACATTTTTAACTTTTATTTTGACAAATCCTAACTTTATATGTTTACAGGGCACAATGTGGTGACTTGATATTAGTTTACAATGTGACATGATTAATTCAAGCCAATTAGCATATCCAATACCTTGCTTACCTGTGATTTTTAAAA